AATATAACTTTGTCAAATATTGCCATATCCAGAAATTGCATTAGAGGGAATGTTTCTGACCGAAAAGAGAGGTTTTGTGGGGTCAAATTCAAGCGCTTACAGACAATCACTTTAGGTTTTTAGCCCAGAGGGGAAGGCAAAATGACATCCACAGTCCATTTTCCTTCCATCTCTGCACAGCACAGGAATGGTGAGAGTTTTCCTCCCCGTTTCGGATCGATCACGCGACGGTCACTTGGGCAGAATTAAGGGTGGCACCAGCATTTCATACGAAATGTAATCACTTTACTGCGTTGCACACGTGCAAGTGGTAAAACCAAGCGAGGGAGAGAGAGAGAGGGAGCATCATGAAAGTCATCAGCAGAGGCACAAAATCAATCTTGCTTGGGGTGGACGCGCAATACAAGCGACACTTCACACAAATCTTATCATTCAACATGAAATTCCACCCAAAAGAATTCCCATATGAGGCTTTGCGATAGAGCAGAAATATTTGGCAAGATTGCAATCAGTGAGTCGAGTGTTTTTTTTTTTCTCTCTCTCTCTCCCTCTCTGTGAAAATGCAAAGAGATTCAGTGTTAAATTGAATTTGGCCTCGCCATGGAAATCCAACTGAAATTGATGGTAAATAGGGAAATATATTGATAAATTTTGTGCACATACAAACACAACACATCGTTCCTCTCATTCGCACGCAGTACTATTTGGCATATTGCAAAATAATATTGACGCGAGTGTGTGAAAAAGTGAGATAATTCTGTGCAGTACGGCAAAACAGAGCGCTAAATGGGCCTCTCTGCATTCAGCAAATATTGCAATTGTGCTTAGATTTCGACTCTCGCTCCCTTTCACCTCAAACGACCCATAAATATTGGCTGTTGCGCGTCAATTCCATCTGTTTTTGCCCTCCTCAACCATCCAACATAATCTCTCTCTCTCTCTTCCACTCTCTTTCACCCGCCGCTGATGCTGCAGCAGCATGGAAAAGAAAGCCCTCAATGCGAATTTCTATTTGTTGCTCATATACAAAAACTCTAAATTTATCACGCTGTTTGGCAAAAATTCTGTTGCGTTTTGAATTTGAATTTGGACGTCATGCGATATGTGTCAAATTCAGCTTCTTTTTCTCCCACAAAACATTTAAACACACAATCATAGTAAAAGAGATGACGCATTGTCGAAAAATGCATTGTGTAGACGGTTAAACAAATGTGATCTAATTTCACAATATTTTGCCTCTTCTCCGTCTCAACTTTCAAGTGTTTTTCACACTCTTTCAAGGAATCGGTCTCCATATACATATTATATGTATATATTGATCAAATGGTCGCGCCGGAAACCGTAGAAAATCATCGTTGGGCGCAATTAAGGGCGCTGAATCCAATCAGCACAGCAATTGTGCAAAAAGTCAATTGGTGATTGCGTAATTTGAGCTGCAGAGCGGCTTTGGCGACCTTTCGACCTCTGTGTGTGGAAAAATCCTGGAAAATTCTTCCCTCGCGCGCCAGAGACAAATTGCACACACACGCGATCAATGTGCGCGCCCCCCGCCGCGGCGGATCCCCACCACTAACCGCCAACCGTCATTATTCATCCCGAACGGAGTCAACAAAGGAGACCCCGTGGGCGCATGGAGGCATGCGCGCCAGCGATGGGGCAACGCTGGGGGAAGATTTGTGGCGCCACCGCTGAGGAATCCCCTCTGGGTGTCATTTTCACCCGAGCGCGCCCGCATTTGGACAGCCACTTCCTCGGGATCACGCTCACCCGCCGCCCGCCGCCCAGTAAGCTCTCGCCAGCCTCGCCAGCAGTCGCACCGCGTGCGGTCCAAACTTCAAACGGCCTCATCAGCATTGCCCTATTAATTGATTAAACCACACTTCTGCCGACAGTTTGGCAATTATTACCCAAATTTCACGGAAAAAGGCAAATTCTTGCTGTTTCACTCAACATTCACCACCCTTTGACGTGTCTGAAAACATTCTGTTTAACCCTTGAAATGCATTTTTTTATTCCCCCAGAGAAATTCTCATCCTCGACTAATTTTATCCGAAAATATTTGTTTTTTCTACAGACACAATTAAAATGAATAAATATAACATAAATAATTAGGAAAAGTATTTCTGTTTTAAGTCTAAAAATGCGTAGATATAATTTAATAAAATAAAGAAGATCCTTTTTCTGTCATTTAGCACAAACAGCACCAAAATAGGTTAATTATTTTACTCTCAATTCGCAATCAACCAAAAAGAGCATCCAAAGCATTTGTCAACTGGTCAATATGGCCAGATGACAAGAGATGTCAAATCTATACAACATAATCGGACGCCAACAGAGACATCTATTGGCTGAAAGAATATCGTTAGAATATGAAAGAAATCGAGTTTTTCTGTAAGAATCGTATCTAAAGATTCAATCGAGCTGAGAAAAATCACTTTTCCATGAATTGGTCAAACTGACCAGTTCGTTCGAGGGGAAATTCATGTCCAGCGCTTTCCATCAGTGTTCAGAAATTCTAGGTCAGAAGCATCAAATTTCTGGTGAAAGATTTATAAACTTTCGTGTCTCTCAGTCTTAATCATGGTTACTCGGAAAATGTCACAAACACTTTGTGCTCATCAAATGACGTCAAAGACAATTACGACGCCAGTTGATGCAACCGACGATTTCTCTTGCGAGAATCACAATCAATGTTGACAGCAAAACTGTACATAGTTTCTCAGCACAAAATGCACAACAGAAGAAGACAATTGAGTGGGAAGAGAGAGAGAGAGAGAACTTGCAGAACTGTCTTATTGCGATTTCTGGATCAAATCGTGACTGAATTGCAAAGAAAATATGCCTGTTTTGCAACATCCAAATTATAGATTTGAATTAGAATTTCTCCTGTGAAAATTTATGAATTTCTCGTAACATTTTGAGTTATAATTTGACCCAAGATAAAAAAAAACCAAAAACTTTAAGGACTCTCAAATTCAGTCAGACATTCTCTAAGCTTAAGAGTAAATACAAACAACGAGTCAAAGCATTGCGCGTTGTGATCATCTTACAAATTTTTCATGGTCTCAGCGCAACGAGTATCATCAAAACAAAACTCAGTTTTCGAGGAGACGAAATCTCATGTGACGACACACACACACACTGTGGGAAAGAGTGAGATGGTGAGAGAATGGAAGAAGAAATTGAAGGAAAAAGAGACACTTTTTCCCTCTTCTCTACACACACAACAAACACAAGCATAAGCACACAAATCGCTCTCTTTTGGCCACAAGAGCACCACGATTAGCCTCAAGTCTCTGGGCATGAAAATTAAACAAAAATCACTCTCCGCATCTACAAATGGCATAAAATTTGACCTGTGCGCGACAAGGATGGCGCGACAAACGGAACATGAGGCCACGTTTAGGAGTGTAAATACAGCCGAAGCAGAGGAGAGAAAAAAAAGAGTAACACTCCATGCTAATATTGTTATTCTGCGCCCCTCCTCTTGCTCTTGCCACTTTTCTTCGCGCGCCGTATGCTATTTTGTAATAACAAAGTGCAATAAAAAGAACACGCTGAGGTGCTAAAGAGTGAGCGAGACATTCGACATTCAAACACAATATATTTCCTCAACGCTTTCCGCCACACTTTTGACGACGACGACGACAACATCGCGCAGTGACGGCCCGAGTTTGCCGTGTGTGTTCTTGAACTGATTTTCAATTTATCGAGTAGGCAAACGCGCGACGAAAATTCGCAGTAATTTCCTTCGCGCCAAAAGACAGCCAATTTGCAAGCAAAAGAAAAAAAGGGGGAGAAAGAGTAAAACCCCAACGAGATTGTCACACATGGAGAAACATTGTGTGTCATAAATCCCAGGATTTTCGACATCAACACACAAAAAAGAAAAAGTCTGGATTCCAAATAAATCACAGTGCGAGAAGAGATTCCCTGGCTCAAATCGCGCGCTGTGTGTGACTCACCTGAGAGATCATCTCAGGTGGTCTTGCAACATTTCTTTTTGGCGGGAAACGCAGAAAAAATCACACAACGCGCCGCTGCAAAGGGGCAAATAACTTACAGGATTTTCACCATACAAAACGCAAAAAGGTGAAGCCATAAAAGTTAATTTGACTTTCTTGGCAACTCCCAGAAGTTGTTTGTCGCATTTTTTGAGAAGGAAATATTATTGCCAAGTCATGCACAATATGACTTTATATTATTAAGTCCACTGAAAAGTCACGGAATTTATTAACTTTATTCGTTCATTAGCATTTCCCATAGTCGAAACAATCAAATATAGTAAGGGGCGGAGCAAAGAATTGGGTGGAGTTTATCTAATGATATATACAATGAGATTTAACAGCTTATTCGACATCTTGAGAAAGACTCTCGAAGACTAAATGCTGTCGCAAAATATTCCCCACTTTTTTTCTCAACATCGAAAGTTCTAGCGATCTCCGCTTGTGGCGCTAAATATGAGAATTCTATACTATTGTGTGAAATGTCTTAAAACAAATGCTTTAATATAAGATTGAAATATATTTTAGAAATGTCATCAAAATCTGCTAAAGTAAATCCTTCAGAATTTCCTAAGACACTCATTTGAAAATCCTTTGGACAGTCATAAGATTTGTCTAGTGATTTTTTTTTATAGAAATCGTGAAAAATCTAATTCATCGCATCCACTATTAAACGTGAATAGAGAACATTATTTGATTCTTGATCTGATTAGACTGTCTTATGACATTCTTATGGATTCCCGATAGATGTTCGTTGAAAACTTGAATTTCTCACCAGAAATATCACAAATTGGATGAAAATAAAACTTTTAAATTCGTGTTAATCTTTATAATTCTTCAATAACTAGACTTTTCAGGAATATCTGTGGATTGTCTACTGAAAACTGTAGGAAACGTCCAAAGTTATTGCAAATATCGCAAAATCTAGTGAAAATCTTCCCTGATTCCCATGAACGGTTGATGTCTAAACCCTAGAAATATAGCGAAAGGACTCACCACGTGAACACTGCTCTGCAGATTGCCCGCCAGTGTGTTGTCAGACTGCTTCTTGTCCGTCTTCTTGGCCGCCTTCTTGGCCTTGCTCTCGAGGAACTTCTTCTGCAGCACTGTCGTCTCCAAGTTCTGCTGCTCGCACACACTGTGGAAGGTCTGGGTGAACTTGGGCCCAGTCTCGCTCTGCCGCCGCCTGTAGTTCTCGATGCGCCTCTTGAGACGATCGACCACTGCCTGCCTCTTGGGCGGAAGCACGTCGTTCTGCTGCTGCTGCGCCAACTGGTGCTGCAGCTGCTGATTCAACTGCTGCTGCTGGAGTGTGTGGATCTGATTGTTGAGCTGGTGCTGGGCCGGATTGGCGTTCTGAAACACTGGCAGTCCTCCAGCATCCATACAGATGTCGGGCGACTTTGCGGAATGAACGCCCAGAAGCGCGCACTCCACAAATACTGTTTGTTTTTCGGCCTTATCACGACGCACTTTTTCACACGCCACCCACGCCGCAATCACTGGGCGGACCCCCAACAAGTCTCTGTGACGTCACACTCGATCGCCGGCTCTTCCTCCTGCGCGCACACGGCCAAGAGCGTCGTCACCACAGCTGGAAGGACAAGAGAGTGTCGTTAGATCTCTGGCGATCGCATAACAACCCGAAAAATTGGGTAACATTCGTCAGCTCTTTGAGCACACAGAGAAGAAGAAAAAACCCCTCCCGAAAAAGGCCTTTTACTTAATATTTCCCCTTCGCACTAAGCTCTAGAGGAAAAAAGTGTGGCGCGGAATTTTGTAAACAATCATTTCGCGTGATCGCCACACTATTTCCTACTTGCATTGCCGTCTTTCACCAATTTATCGCCTGAGAAGCTCTCTGGGCTCTTGCACAATACGCAGCCAGAGTTTGCGTCTCTAAGCCCATTTCGTTCACTCACTGTGTACATTTATATTGACATGAATTTGAGGACAAGGCGAAGAGATGATGATAAAAAGTGCGACAAGGAGAAGTCTCAAGACACGATGGAAAAACGCGATAAATTCTCGGCCACAATCAATTCCTCTGCAAATTAGGAAATACCAATTATGACCAATTCTCATGCACACGACTTTTCCCGCCACTTTTCTCTGTTGCGCTCACACACACGCTTTTCCACGGACATCCAGAAATCTCCCGCCAAAACTGCATCCCCATTTTCCCCCTTTCACTCACTCACTCACTCCCATCGCACACGCACGCACACACAGTCGGCAAGTGATCGGAAATTGCGGAAAAAATATGCCAGCGAGACAGCAAGAAAGTGTATTTATTACATTAGATTGTTGAATATGGAGTCCAGCGTGAAATGCTCCACCGAGAGAATTTGTGGAGAGACCTGTGTGTCGCTATTCGGCCGAGGCGTGAGTAGCCAACAACAACAACCGACGAAAAAAAAAACAGACGAAGCACTCCGTCTCGGATCAGAGTCGATATTGGATTGAAAGAAGCTTTTCAATTTTCTCTCTTTTTCCCTCCACAATATTTTATTGTACTCCATATGAGATTTGGATCGTGCGGTAATTGTGTGTTGCTTCTGCTGCCAAGTGCTGTTATATTGTCTTTCTCTCTAGCGCCCAAAGAGAGTCTCACCGATCGTCTCTGTGTGTGTGTGCGAGTCACCTGTCCCGCTCGCGCGCACGCACGCGCCGCATCTTCCGTCGCACCTGAACACCCGTCAAATGGCGCAAAGAGCGTCACAGTGGCGCGCGCCAACTCGCTCGCACCCGTGCGCCGCACCCGCGCCAGAGCGAGACAGGCGACGCACACATTCCACCTCCTATTTCACCCTCTCTCGCGCTCACTCACACACGCGCGCGCGCTCGCACACTGCGTCAGAGCGGGAGGGATGGCTGCACGCCTCGTGCTCGCTCATCCTTGCGCCCCTCGCAAGGACATTTGACCGTTTATCCCGTCAATTGCCGCTCTTGGCTCGCAAATTGCTCAACCTTCACATGGCAGACGACGCGAGGTTTTTCGACAAGGAGGGCAAGATTCCTCCGCAAATTTCCCCAAAACAACCAAAGCACCAGGAAAATCATAGCAGAATCATGCGCGCGTTAATGAGTGCTGAACTCTTTAATATAATTTTTAGTGGAAAAATGAAAAAAAGACTCGATTTGAAGTTAAACACAATATGAGGGAAAGAAACTTGATTTATTTTTAAGTAAACAAAGTCTCGAATAATCGATTTTAGCCATCTTTTACACTTGATTTCTCGATTTTGCGACACTGACGTATTCAATTATTCAATCAATAAAAAAAACCCAAGTCATGGCGTGAAATCTCAAGCATTCCAAAGACAAAATGAGTCTTCTGCGTTCGTCCAAACACACCAACTTTATTACTACCTTTCGCATTTACATCACTTCTGGCGAAACTCAAAGAGATTCCAATCAGTTTTAGAGACAACGGAAAGGCTGACAGGAAATCCTTGTGAAGGGTTCCTGCAAAACACACTTCTCAGAGCTGCACGGAAGTAAATACGGAAGCAATTCTCGTTCTGTATCTGATACACATGTGAGCACAGAGCGTGAAATTGAACACCCTTTTGGCAAAGGCAGGTAAATGGCGAAATGTCAAGTAAATTCTTAAGTGGGCGGAGTATATTGAGAGGCGGAGCTTCAGACACTTTGCCAAACATTCGATACCATAATTCGAGGGTGTTTTTCGCCAAATTCTCTATGCTTTTTTGGCCGAGAAAATACAATTTGACGATCAGTAACTTCGTCTGGTGGCAAATTAGCAACATTGTGTGAAGAATTTCTTGGGAAAAAAACAACATTGTCGACAAGTCCGAAAATGCTGAAGCTCACCACAGACAGCAATAAAGATCCCTCGGCAAGTCATTAGTGAAGTGCCTGGAAAAGGTTGAGAAATGGCAGTTTTTGCCCTGCTTCTCTCTCTCTCTCTTTCTCTCTCTCCCTCTTCGTGGAAGGGCACATCTTGAGGCCTTTGCGAAGGGGAAGAGGCCAATGGCACGACAGATGCATGTTGTGCGGAGGAATCGCGTCTCGGGCTGATCGAGGGAGGAAGTGCAACTTGTCGACAGGGCGAAGCCCCTCAGCAGGGCCACATGTTTCCCATTGCGACACCCCTCGCGTGCACGAACGCGACCCGAGACGCACTGCCGAGGGCGAGGGTAAAAAAAAAGCCACACGAGAGCCCCTTTTTTCCAAACCTCTCTCGCACACGATCTCTCGCCATCTCGCTCGCACCGCTCAACCCCTGAAAATCCTCGTCACGCTCGAGAGATTGCTGTGTTTTTGGCACTGCGAGCGAAAATCCTGGCGAGAAATCCTACCAGCAGCATATGCATCGAGCATATGCTGCCACTCACAAGGAGTCACTCTCTCAGTCGTATTTTCACGCATTTCACCCAATTTCCCACACACAACTCACCTGTAAATCCCCAATGCCACCGCGGAGAACACTCTTCTGTCGCTACATGGTGAAAACACCCCCAGAATCAGTCGGGAGAGCCCCAAAACTGAACCAAGAAGGGAAAACCACTCGTCGTTTGTTGTCAACTGTCAAGCGAGAGCGCGACAGAGAAGGAGCGAGAGAGAGAGTCCACCAAAAAACAATCTCTGGAGAGAAAAATCACCACTAAACCAACGGAAAAACAGTCAAAGAGTCCTCAAGGGTGGGAAAACTAAACTCTTCACTCAAGCACGGTGGAAAATTAGGTGTTTTTGTAGGGGGAAAAAGCAACAACACCGAGAGAAACGACGCGACACCCGCGACGAGTGAGAAAAAACTGACGATGCGAGAGAGCAACAGCAACTGCGGGCAGCGCCGCGTCGCGGAGGATTCGCATGAGTGGCAGAGAGTGGGGGTATTTTGGCGGGAATTTTATTGCAAAACGGGGAAAAACACGTGGTGGTGGTGAAAATCGATGGAAAATCTCGCTTACAGCTACACTAAATTTCGCCTACACTAGGTGACTCCGGGAGATGTGATAGTCCGCCGCGGCGGGACGGAAGGTCGTCACGTGCTTCGGCTTGTATTCTGGCGGCTGCACGAACACCTTTCGCACATCCGGGAGGCCGTCGTCGTGATACTGTGGCTCAGGCTGGCGCTGCGGCACGTGCGTGGGCTTCGGCGGCACCTTGGGACGCACCAGAGAGCGATTGCTGAGCCTTGTGGGCGCCGGCGGAGCGACACTGGTGAAGTCCGGCATGGAGATGGACTCCTGGCCAACGTCCGCCTCCACATCCGCCTCGTCCACCTCTCTGATGATCTGCCTGAGTGACATTTTGCGCTTCTGACGCTGCCGCGCGTGCTTCGTGCAGCTGAGAATGATGCTGAGCAGCACACAGAACTCCACAATGGCCACAATCATGCCGGCGCCCAGGAAGATGACGTACTGCTGGCGATACCACAGATCGATCTTGTCATAGCAGCTCTCCAGGTGTCGGAAGCTCTGGTACTCGTGCCGCTGCAGTGACTGACACAGCGACAGATTGATTGGCTTCGGGCCCAAATAGGCGTTCCGGTCACGTGAGTTCTGCAGCACGCAACACGTGAGCGGCACCGTGAGCTCACGATGGCCGAAGCCCTGCAGACGCCACAGCGACGTGTCGTAGTTGATGTCGCTGCTGATGGCGCAGCACTTGAACAGCGTCTGGGCGAGATCCATGGCCGCCGTGAACTGCTCCTTGCCCGGCACGCCGTAGCTGCCCTGCAGCGCGCGCACCATCACCGTCTCGTCCAGGTCCAGGCCCATGCATTGCGGCCACAGCGTGATCAGCAGGCACATGCCGAACTCCAGGAGCAGCAGGATCAGCACCACCAGGAAGTACTGCAGAAGAGAAACCACATTTTGACACGCTTCAAGACTGCTTCTGCACTCATTTGAGCGCCACTCGCCGAACTTTCTACTAATCTGCAATTTGTTGGGATGTTTGCCGCGCTCAGATTGCGTCTCTGCACCCAACAGAGGCAGTCAGTGCGGCAGAATAGCGGACTGGACGAGGGGGAGTGCGAATAATGTCAGCTCGATTTGCTAAACTAGCAAAATTGTGAACAATAATGTCGTGTAAATGAAGAAAATTATGCGTTTTCACGACATTTCAGGTGTCTTTACTGTAATTTATCTCTATATATTATCAAATTTGCGAATAACATGAATTCTAACCTCAAACTTTTAATGGACATTAAGAAATTGAGCTATTTTAGCGTGTTTAGTTATGTTTTCTGCCACTAAAAATTAAGAATGAGACAGAAAAGCTTCAAATGATTAATGCTTATTTTTTTCCCCATTTTTATGATCATAAACCCAATTCTGACACCAAAACAGCATGAATTGGACACCATTTTGAAACACAAATAACTTGGTTTTCAAAAAAGAACCGTGAAATTCATTTTTTGGACACTAATTTCAAACTTTTCTAGTCTCCCAGGCAAACATCTTTAGTCCTATAAAAGGATTGGAAGGAAGAATCCTTCCATCTTGCCCAACGGAGCATGAAATATTGTCAAATCAACACTGAGCGTCCGGAAAATCTCAGCAATTGCAAGTCACGCTGGATTGACGCACTTTTCAGCGAGCGACACAGAAGTGGAGCGAGAGAACAAAGGCACTCACCACAGAGAGGATGCAGTAGGTGCCGGAGCAGGCGGCCCAGCAGCCGATGAGTGCGGCGCAGATGGCGATGAAGCCAGCGCCCGCGAGTCCGAGGGCGATGTAGAAGAAGAGCGGCTGTGGCAGATCCGCCAGCTGCTCACTGGTGGCGCCCAGGAGGCGTGACAGCAGAATCCTCGGGTTGTCGGTGAAGAGGAAGAAGCCGCCGGCCAGCAGCGCCACGCCGCACGCGAGGAAGACGAAATTCGAGGCGCCCAGGACGAGCTTGTGGCCCTGCAGCTCACTCGGCATCGTTCCGCGCGGACACTTTGAGCAACAGACACTGACGACAGGTGCACGAGTGGCTCTACATCTTCTGGCCCAGAGCACAGGAGAGACAATGGTTGTTGTGTGACACACTTGAGATGCGACCCTGCGCGCTTCACCCTGGAGATCTCTGCACAGCCCGCGAACGGAGACTGGCGAGCAGAGCGGCGACGGCGCGTGGGTGTGAGTGGGAATCACAGAGTGTGACACCCCGAACAATTCAACGGTTTTCCAGGGAGTCTCTCATGTGTGGCGGACTCGAGATTGAGCACAACTCGGCGAGAGTGAGGCTCTTTTTTTCGGCGCCCGGCGCACGCCACGGATGAATCACAGGTATTGCCAGCGAGTGGGAGAATCGCATCACCTGCAAGAGAGCCGAGAGAGAGAGTTCAGCCGAGCACCGGAGAATCCCAGGCATCGCCAGCTGGCTGGCGTTCTTCGCTCGTGTGCGCTATGGAAGGAAGGAAATGCCAGCCAAGCGGAACTCTCTGACGCTCACCGTTCAACATTCCACCGTTCGCATCGTCAAAGTACACCCACGCCGCGTCAGAAGTCCAATCCGCGCGCCCCCGAAGCTCCGGAGGTGCACGCGAAGCTCGGACGCGGAATCAGAGTGTCGCTCAGCTCGGAAATGTCTGCAAAGATTGGATCAAATCAGTGATTATGTCCAAGCAAAAGTGCTCAAGAGCATCCCAACCTGGTGGCAAATGGAGCTTCTCCACCACAAATCGCTTCCGACGCTGCTTGAATGCCAAATCATACGTTTCCGGACGGAATGGAGCCAAAGTGTTGAGCGCCGAGAGCTTGTGGATGTGCACAAGACCATGATATTCGCGATACATCACATTTGTCTCGGCGTCAGCGCCGCTGAATGACTCAATCTCCACACAGAAGTCCACCAGATCGCGCACTCTGGCCAGAAGACTCTTGTCCAGGCAGGCGAAGAGGTGCGTTGGCATGGAGATCATGCAGACGGACGTGGAGGATCTCATTCGACTCTTGAGCAGTGTGAGGAATCTCACCAGCTTCCCAGGGAAGTCATCTCTTGTCCACCAGAGAGGCGAGCCCAGTGATTTCAGGCAGATTCTCAGGCATTTCTCATGCTGCTCAGACAATTTCTCACCAATGCTCTTCTCTAGCTCAGCAAAACACCCCTCGTCACCCCAGCAAGTCACACTGCACGCCTTCACAGCTTCCGGCGTCACGCTCTTGGACAGATCGAAGTGATAATCACGCCTGGAGCCCTGCTCGAGACTCACTCTCGGCAAATCATTGTAGCGCCACGCGATGCGCATCTCCTCCTCGGCAGGCCTCTTATCGATCACCTTCTGGATCTCCTCCTCGACAGCCTGCGGCAGTTTCCGGACAAAGTCGTGAGCGGGTTCTTCTTTGGTGGCCAGGAAGAGTGGATGTCGCCGGTAAACGCCCTCGGCGAGGAAATACCGACACAGCACCTTCGCGTAGCTGTTGTACTTGTCCTCCTCGATCAGGAGAATCGATCCCAGTGGCAGTCCGCCACCTGCAAAGGCCGGAAAACGCGTATATTCGGGGGGAAAACATCCCAGACAGACGAAGAAGTGAGGTTAACTCACCAATAATGTGATCCAGGGAGAAATTGCCCGTGGATACCATCAGCTGGCCATTGTGCAGCGACGGCCGGCATCCCTCGATGCTGGCCAGGAGTTTCCTCTTCAACTGGAAGCTCATTTCACGCCGAAAAAGCGAACAAAAGCCAAGCGTGAAAATCTCACTGATTCTCGCCCACGACAGCTGCGCACTCTGGCGACAATTTGCATTGCAAAGACAGTTTTTTTTCTGAGTGATTATTATTATTATTTGTTTTCTTCAATCATTCGTTAAAATAAAATTAGTGCCTGTTTCACAAGTTACTCTCTTTCTCACAATTGTAAGTAATAATATTTCAAACATCCTATCGCAATGTAAGTAAGGTTTATTATTCTATTTACAATAAATGTAAAGGAGAAAAGATTGGGTTTTTTTTTCTTTGTTCTGAAAAAAAATGAGTGAAGAATTTCCTTAAACACTACACTTTTTATAATCCTTAATTTCCAGTGATTTCTTTTCTTTGTTCTTAATGCGCAAATCATGCAAATTTGAGAAAAAAGCATTTTACTCTCTCAGTCAAATAATTTTCCGGGGGAAAATTTTAACATTATATTTCCCTGAAGCTGGAAAAACACACACAAAATGATTCACCGCGTGAGAAATAATAGTTAATTTGTGTCCTAGAAAAATCCGCTCCCCCGCGGAAAAGGTGTAAATTTTACCTAAATCCTACAATATAATGAAAATCATGCAACAGAAATGTCCTTCAGAGTCCTAATCTCGTCCAATTTTGCGGTTTTATCAACATAATTGAGTGACTTTTTTTCTATATAAGAAATTTTGGTATAATGAGACCTTCTTCTTTGCTAAAAATGACTCGGAATATCCTTTGAATTGCTACGTCATCAGTGTTTTTTTTGTAGATTTCTTCTCGTGATTCTGTAAGCCTTTTCCCTTAACGCCTAAAAGATTCTCTCCGGAAGCGTTCAGCCTCACTTGCTGTCGTAGTCTAAGTCGGATTCGGCAGTCGCGGCTGTGTTCGCGGCGGCGCCTCCTCGATCCTGGATGGCCGTTATTGATTGCTGTAAGGCGTTCGGCGTCAGCCACTCCCTGGAATGCAAGAAAAGCAGACTTAGAAGGGGTAGAAATTTCTGCGAAATCGCCTAAATAAATCATTTCCCGTCGAAGACTGAATTTATCCACGTTTTTGAGTGCAATTAAAGCACTTTCTGAGCAGAATCTTGTCCTTTTGCTACAAATTTATCAATGTAACTTACTCAATTTACCCTCAAAGACTAATTTTCATCAATTTCTTCTACTCTAACTGTTCGTCCTATGAAGTTTTATCATTTTTCCGCAATGACAGCGTCTATTTCCACGTTCTGATTGCTCTCGGAATTAATTATAGAGTCCCGAAATTAGCACAAAATCGATCAGACGAGTGGGAGACTCACTTGGGGAGGCAGCGCTGCAGGAATGGCACGCAGGAGCTGAAGTGCGCCAGCCGATTGACCCAGCTGGGGATCTCCTGGCCGCAGAGGATCTGCGTGAGGGCGCTGGAGAAGTGGTTGCAGTTGTTGTTCATCAGGTGATACCTGTCGCCGCGGAACTGATTGCCCAGCTCCTCCACGATGCGCCGCACCTCCTCCTCCGTGAAGTCCGTGCAGCCAATCTGGATGCTCTGGCGGAAGCGGAACTGCTCGCCCAGCTCGTCGTGGTCGCGCGGCTGGATCTCGAAGACGCCCGTGAAGGGGAACGGGTGGCCGCCGTACGCGAACTCCGTGCCGAAGATCTCCACGCCGGAGTGGAAGACGCCCAGACCGAGCGTGGTGGTGTACTCGTTGATCCAGTACTGTGCAGACAGAGATTGATTAGCGCCAGGAGTCAACAGCTGATAAGCGCTGCTGCGTCTTTGTGCGCCACTCACCATGTCGTAGACATTGAGAATGACCGGCTCGCGGCTTCCCATGCTGATGGGCAGGAGCTCGTCGCTGTGCGGGGGCGCGCGCCGGGAAGATGAGAAGGGGACAAAAGAATCGATGAGCGCGCGGTGTCAATGGCCAGAATGCCAGGCTTACCTTTCGTGTTTTGGCACTCCGAGGCAGCTGGGAAAGGGCAAATTACACGGCAGACCGTTTGAGAACATCACCGTGCGGAGTTGTGTGCGGAAATGAGGGAGAAATGCGAAATAGTGGGCAAAATGTGGCCAAAACCGATGTCATCGGGAGACAAAAAACTCTTCCACTCTCTGTGTACTTTTTCCAACGTCCCTTTTCTCACCTCCCGCACACCCAAACTATCACCACAGCATCAATCACCGCGAGCCCCGTGACAATTGCACACCGCCAAAATCACACTGTACGCCCAATTGCAGCTCAAACAGATTGGAGAAAACTTTTCACGCACAACACAATGTTGTTAGAATGCAATCTGACAGCGGACGACCATTGTGCGACTGGAGCGCCACGCGCGGCACTTTCCGTCGCATCTGGCAACCCGCGTAGCTGAGTGATTGCCACGGGTGGCGCTGACGGCGCACATCGCACTTCATCTGGCTTTTTCGGGGCGAACGGCGTCACAGTGGTACGAAAAAGTGTGATTTGCCAGGTGAAAAAGTGCCCTCGTGCAGTCCAGTTGCAGTCCGGAGGCTCCGCAAACAGCACACAGCATGGGCAAGAGGAAAAACCAGCCTCTGATCGATTCGGAGACAGACGATGATGGATCCGACTTAGATTCAGTAAGTTTCTCTGCATTCTCTCATTTGGGGCGCTTTCCCGCATCAAAACCATCCCAATTTCCTCTTGTTCGACACTCTTGCGCGCTCTCAGTGAGGGCTTTCAGCGATTGACATTGGGTTTTGCTAGGGAAATGGTATGAAAAGCGTGTTTATTGAGCAGTTTGCTAGGGCAACAGTCATTCATGCAATTTTGTTTTGCTTTTGCAGGAATTCCTCTCACTGGCGAAGAAGAAGAAAAAGCCCGACAGATTGGCGTCCAACAGTCCCAGGAACTCCTCGGGGTCGGATTCCGACTGGGCGAACGGCAAGAATGGGCAGACGAGGCGCAAGAAGCGCACGAAGAAGATGAGCAGGAGTTCTTCGGATTCCGGGGAGGAGAGTGACTCAGATGCCGAGGCTGAGGCGCCCGCGGCCATCGTGGTGCCCCCGCAGCCGGTGCCGAAGGTGCAAGAGGAGGAGGAGGATGACGAGAAGTCGGAGCTGGAGGAGGGTCAGGTGTCCACGGACTCAGAATCCAGCTCGGCATCGGAGTTCAATGACGGTTACGATGAGAACTTGATGGGCGACGAGGAGGACAGAGCCAGGCTGGAGGGGCTGTCGGAGAAGGAGCGCGAGACGGAGATCTTCAGCAGAATCGAGCGGCGCGAGTCGATGAAGACGCGCTGGGAGATTGAGAAGAAGCTGAAGCTGGCGAAGAAGAAGGAGCGCGCCAGGGATCGTGGCAAGGAGAGGAAGCCGAAGAGGAAGAGGGAGAAGGTCACGGTGGAGCGCCTGCCGCCGCCCAAGATGATCGCCATGCCCGTGATTGTGCCGTCGCCGGAGAAGAGCGCCCCTGAGGCGTCCGGCTCGGCGGCGCCGGAGTACTTTGACCCGAAAGAGCGCTCCAAGGAGCGCAAGAAGAACGTGGAGGCGAACAAGACTGACGACAAGCGCAGCAATGCCATGGCGCTGCTCAAGGCGCGCCGCGAGGGCAAGCAGAAGCGCGAGGAGGAGGAGGCGAAGCGCCAGGCGGAGCGCGAGCGCGAGGAGGACAAGGAGGAGCTGGACGGCGTGGCGGGCGGCAAGTCGGCGGTGAAGCTGAAGGCGTCGGACATCTACAGCGACGACTCGGGCAGCGACAGCGACGAGAAGCGCTCCGGCAGGCGCTCTTCGGACACCAAGAGCTCCGAATCTGAGTCGGATGAGGAGAAGAAGTCCGTGTCGGTGCCGAAGCGGCCCACGTACATCACAAATCGCGACGAGTTGAACAAGATCCGGCTGTCCAGACACAAGATGGAGCGCTTCGTTCATCTGCCGATCTTCGAGCGCGTGGTGACGAACTGCTTCGTGCGCATCAGCATTGGGAATCACAATGGGAAGCCGGTGTATCGTGTGGCGGAGATTGTGGGCATCGTGGAGACGGCCAAGGTGTATCAGCTGGGCAAGAGTCGCACGAACAAGGGCATGCGGCTGCGCCACGGCTCGCAGGAGCGCGTCTTCCGGCTGGAGTTCATCTCCAACCAGGACTTCACGGAGACGGAGTTCGACAAGTGGCGCGACGTGTGCGCCTGCAGCGACGTGGAGATGCCCACGATGGACATGGTGGACAAGAAGGTGAGTTTTTACGCAGCGCCAGAGCATAAAGAGTAGGATTTATCCACGGATTCTCTGCCCGCACAGGTGAAGGATGTGAAGGAGGCGCTGGCGTACGAGTACAAGGACGAGGACATCGAGAAGATCATCGAGGAGAAGAATCGCTTCCGCGCCTTCCCCACCAATTATGCCATGCGCAAGACGATGCTGCTGAAGCAGCGCGAGGACGCGACGACGCGCGGCGATGAGGAGGTGGTGAAGGAGCTGAGCGCCCAGATTCGTGACCTGGACGAGCGAGCGAATGAGCTGGACAAGAAGCGCTCCAGCAGCATCAGCTCCATCTCCTACATCAACGACAGGAATCGCAAGAGGAACGTGGAGGAGGCGGAGAAGGCTATCATGGAGGAGGTTTGGATGCTCGCACGCGTGTGTGTGTGATTTCCTGGACAGCTTCTCATGCCTCTTTGTCCGCAGGTGCGCGCCAACAAGGGCATGAAGGTGGACGATCCCTTCACCAGGCGCAGCACGAAGCCCAGGATGTCCTTCAAGGCGGGCGAGCAGATGGAGGAGGAACTGGCGCCCATGATTCCCGCCCCGCCGCCACCGGGCAGGAAGAAGGTCGAGGAGGGCGAGAAGAAGCCCAACGGTCCGGGCGCCGAGAACAACTTATATTCCCTCCACGATTTCGAGATCGATCTGGAGGTGCCACTTCCGGGTGAGTGAAATTTTGCGACTCTCTTTGGCCCCAAATCGTCTTATAACCAACTTATAACTGCTTTCTAATATGATATAAAGAAGATTTGACACATTTAACATTCGAGTGGTGAATTTAGAGGCGGTTTTACAAATTCATTATCTAATATTTCTCTTCTTTATTTCACTAAAGTCAGGCTTTTCGCTATGTCCGGATGTTTCTCCGAATAGATTCCTTCCTTCTTAGCTTTTATGACAGCTTAACTGTTTATAAATCCTACGGCGAAAGACAAAATAACCTAAAATATCTACTTTTTACAACGATTTGAGGACCTTTTAATCGTTTCACCACAGAATTTACTTATCAGGCCAATATTTTACCCTTTTTCAATGCTCATTATTATAAAATCCGGTATGAAAATAGATTTGCATGTGATTATCTTATAAAATGCTATTTCGGTGTCTTATAAGATATCAATTTGAAGCTGTTGCAGACCGAAAAAATCTTCCCGTCGGCGTGAAGACGTTTAAATGCTCTTTTTCACGTACTTTAATGTTTAAACTCTTGAAAGTTTGGAAGTCTGTTCAATAAATTGATGAATTTAATGCAATTCACCATCTTTTCAGTGACAACGGTGAACGTAATGCCGAAGCCGGTGGTGAAGCCGGAAGAGAGCGGGCCCAAGAGCAGGAGATCGCTGAATCTGGAGGATTACAAGAAGAAGCGTGGTCTCATCTAGAACGTATTAACATTATATATATGGAATTGTTTTATTAAGAATTATTATTGTAGAGTTAAAAGACGAACAACTTTTCTCCTGGAGCGCTGCGCGCGCTCCATGAAATCTCTATTTAACTTGTCTTAAGATACTCTAGCGTATGTATTTTAGCATAGGATGTACCTCACGCATGTAGTGATTGTGAATAAAAGCTAGTAGAAGTTACAGATAAGCCGTGATAAGAGGTTTTTTGTCGGGGTTTTGCCGTGTGCGGCGGATTTGCTCAATTTTGCCTTTTATGGGCGCCACGGTGACGGTGTGAAGTTGGCAAGGGGTGCTGGCATGCCAGCGCGGCAGTGGTGAAAAAGGCCTCGCGTCTCGTCGTTGCGGCAGTCGCTGTCGCCACTTCGGTGCAACCGGAACGGAACTGATCTTGCGAGCGAGTCGTAGTGCATTTTGTGTAGTCTTTGGATACTAGCGAGTAGTTTGTACATTAATCGCAACAAAATGGTGAGTGTTGGGGATGTTTGGCGGCTCGGGGGGTGGTCAGAGTGGCTGCATGAGTGGTATTTCGTGTGAAAAGGCAGCACCGCATGCCGGCGGCCGCCATTTGTGAATCACACACACTTCATTTTGGGCTGAAAAAGAGAGGCGAATTTGCTGATTTTTGGGGTGCTTCTGTGGCGCCACTGGTGGCTTCGCGGGGCTCCTGAGTGGCCAGATGGGATGCCGGGTGTGGTGGCGTGTTGCTGGTGGGGTGGAAAATTGCCGGCGGAGGGTGGGTGGGTGTGAAAATGACTCGGGAAATTTTCCCGTGTGGCCAAAGGGCGTTTTTCTCTCACGCCATCTCATCATTTTTCACCTCATTCTCCCTCTCTTTGCCATCTTTTGCGGGGCTTTTGGGCCTTCCGCGGACCCCACAGGCTCGCTACTATCACTCCCTCGTGCGTGGGAGAGTTGCATTTTCCCATTGACTTGGCCTTTTCACTGCGAAAATGTGTATTTTCCGCTTAAATTCGCCCCGAGAGAGTGTGACTCGCGCTGAGCGAAATTAGTCATCGACAGACAACTTGTCATGCTGTCTCGCTCTCGCCCATGGGATTTCTCATGGCCGTCGCGCAAAGAGTCATTCGGCCATTTTGCACTCACACTGATCGAGAGAGCGAGAGAGTGTGCGTGTTTTGCCAAATCTCACCACCAGAGTGGGGAAAATGTGTGGGCGAGACAAAACAGTTTTGTAAAATAATGGATTTTCCAACCCAAAATTGTCGCTGCAAATTTACAATCGCGCGCCGCGACAGGAGAATTAATTGAAATTGCTAATGAAGACCTCCTTTTTCTCCTCCGCGCAGAGAGATAGAGTGAGAGAAGAGAGAGTTATGAGTGTTTGGCACAAGAGGCGCGCGCGCTCTTAAGTCTTAACAGTTAATTTCTTAGCTATTTTTAGGTCTTTCTCACAAGCCTAAGAGCAACTCTCACTCAAATTTTATTAATATCGCCACGAAAAATGTCACACAATTTGCTCTCCAAAAAATTACTCTTCACCAAAGGCGTGAGTGTGTGTGTTTTTTTTTCTTCGCCGTGCAACCAATTGAAGCGCGGCGAGCAGACAAAAAAGTGCACACGGAATTGTGGGTGGGAAAAATGGTGGGCATGAATCACCTGTTTTGGGGCCTCTCATTGTTCAATCGCACACACACCTGATTCCGCCGCGGCAGGGAAATCTGCAGCGCGCGGGGATCATTGGCGGGATTTCCTTTTATGGCGCGCGCGGCCAAGTCGCGCTGGGCGATAACGAGAGAGAGGATTTGCGATAATGATGGGGCACTGATAGGGTGGTGACGTCACCGCGTCTCTCCACGCTCGCGACGAGTGAGGAAAAAACACGGCGATGGAGGGAAAGCTGATCTATTATTAGAGGCGATTTTTCCGTGGGCCAGGAAGCCACACTGGCGAGGTTTCTGCCTCCCGAAGCGCGCTCGCAGAGGAGAGAGAATTTGGGAGGAATGATCAGCGAGGACAAACACTAGACTTACCGCGTGTGATCAATTTGCTGGCGAGTCATATTTGGCCGTTGGTGGGTGACGTCACGACGGTGTTTCAGAGCGAAAATTGTCATTTTCTCAGATTCCTATGGCTTTTTTTCTCTTTTCACACTTCCGTTGAGAAAAGGGATTACTTGTCGCAAGGAAGTTTCGCATTGTTTTTGTATCTATTTAAGCATAAAGCCATACAAGATGATGATTCATCGGTAAACACGAACAATTGCTGTGGAATATTGTTCTAGAAAGACTTTGATTTGCTTTTGACGAGAGATTTTTATACGGTATTCCGGAAAATGGCGATTGAATGATTTTTGATGGGCGTTTGAAGTAGATTTTGATGAATATTTTGCATATTTCTATCACAAAATCTATGGTTAGTATTCTAAAAATTGATTGATGTAAACTAATTAGTCCTTAGAATATCGATTTTGACTATTTTTACCCTTAAATTGTGTTGAAAAGATTGGGAAATTGCATGTAATTCCCAAAAATGAGTGTCGATATTGGCTTGAACTTATCGACACTTCAACGTAGTGAAAAATCTAGGTAATTTTTCAATAATTCCCTTACTTTCGCATGTTTTCTCTTGCAAGTGTGTGAGGAAAACATTTCCACCGAAGTATATTCAGAACTTGGTAATAATAAGTATCAAGAGCTTAAATTACAGCGTCAAATTGTGCATCTGTGATAGAAAATCAGGTGTTTCGCGACTTCTAAGGAAAAGTCCACAATTGCTGATAAGCGAGCTCAGCTGTTTCTGCAATTTCTTACTTCCTAACCTCACCATTTTCTGGTGCGTCTGCAAGTGTGCAGCGAAGCCACGATCGGGCCCTCGAGTGCCTCTTCGCGTGTGTGTGTGAGTGTGTTTGAGGGGGGATTTCGCTGTGCGGACGCGTGAGGCGAGGCACGATGGCGCAGAGGTCATTGTCACTTGTGATTTTTCGGTGAACCACGTGAGGAATTCATCCACCCTGGCACTTCCTCGTCAAGTCCAACCAAACAGAAGAGGAGGTGAACCTTTTCCTGTCTATTTTTGGGTGGGCGAGAGAGTAGAAAAGAAGAAGGAGAAGATATTGTATTTCTTCAGATGCCATTGATTTGCGCCTGCAATTGCGACTGTAATACACTCTGAGCAGCAGGATAATTAGGCGATTTTCAATTAAATACACTCTCAGGCACTTGTATTTGGCTGTTTTGGCTGCGTGATGACGATATGGTTGAGTTGTGGCGCGGGAAAACGTGGCAAAATTCATTAAAATTCTTCCTCACTCGCCAATGGTTGATTTTGTGGCTGCACGAAAATTGCATACTTTCGGCTTGACTTTCTTCACGGGCAAAACTTCCGCAAAGGTTCAATCGTCGTTTGGATGGGATTTCATGGGAGGTTATTTGATTAAAAAATCCCCCCAGAAAGAGCGCTGATAGAGAGTTTTTGGCGAAGACGTTGCGAAAAGAGGTCTTTTCTACAAATATGGTAAAAATTGGTCGTTGATTTGTGTGTGCGTGAGTGTGTGTGTGAGAGAGAGAGAGATTGAGAGAGTGATAAACCGGTAAAAGAGAGTGACGAATCATGCATTTTAATATCAATGGACGACCGCGGGAGGAAGAGAGAGAGAGAGAGAGTGAGAGCTGTTTAGCGGCGAGTGACTATTTTGGTTTTTTGATCGCTCGCCGTCTCGCTCTGGCGCGCCGGCGAGCGGCCGCGGAGCGACAGAGACGGACACGGCGTTCGGCCTGTGGCGAGAAGAAACATGACCATTAATGCATGCGAGGAGAAGAGCGAGAGAGAGAGCGTTTGGTGGTGAGTTAGTGCAAGACACAGTGAAAATGCTACGCATGTCCATATATGGAATTGTTGGGGTTCCCTCAATTCTCCTCCTGCCAAGAGAGATGCCAAAGTGAAAATTTCCACAATTAGTGGCCGAACAGTGCACAATTTAGAGCTGGCATTTCTTTATCTCTCGCACCTCAATTGCAGATCACGAATGACGCCAATGAGTCAGTTCAGGCCTGTCAAGACTCTCTCTCTCTCTCTCTCTTTCTCTGAGTCGAGAATGAGAGCTTAATTATGCTTCTAATGCATTTTCCACGTTACGATTGCTGCTCAAGTCTAGATTCCAGCTTGTCTAGTAATCAAACTGTCTTGTAATCTAGTCACAATTTGTCTACATTGGTCATGAATTTAACGCTCTGACCAAATTTCTGAACTTGTACATCTTAAAATTCAGATTTGTCGGTCATTTTGCGGCTCAATTTGCTCAAAAACGTGGAAAACCGATGATAATGAATGGCTCAATTTGGGGAAAAAGAGATCCTTCTGCTGCACATTCTGCGCAGGAGCAGCAGGAAGAGGAGAAAAAGGCACATAGAGCGGAAAATGTTGATTGAGTGCAAGAAGAACTGCCTATTTTTGAGCAACTTGTGCTCTTTTAAGGCACTAAAGTCCATTTTAGTGCAATTAAACTCGTCAATACTAATTACATCATGACTTTTTTCAATTTAATATATTTAAAATTGTACTTTAAATGCTAGCTTTAAGTGAATTCTACTATAGCAACACTACAAAATCACTTTTCTTTATCTTCTTTTGAGTATTTTCCCTTGAAAATTATACTCAACGTTGTTTTTAATCTTTCTCTTGCGTTCAACGCTTGAAGAAATTGTGTGAAAACTTGCAGAAAATCATTTATATTTGCAATTGAATGTCAATTTTCTCTCCTTTCTCGACAGGCGTCAGGAGTGACTGTCTCGGACTCGTGCAAAACCACCTATGAGGAGATCAAAAAGGACAAAAAGCATCGCTACGTGATCTTCTACATTCGCGACGAGAAGCAGATCGATGTGGAGGTCGTGGGCGATCGCAATGCCGAGTACGATCAATTCCTCGATGATATTCAGCAAGGAGGACCCGGAGAGTGCCGGTGAGTGAGGATGATTTGTTGGCTGTTGATTGGCGCAATGGCAGCACAATACCCATTAATCGGGATGGCGCGATGACTCGTCGCCTGATTAAGAATGTGCGACTGTCAGAGCAGAATGCGATCTCTTACCCCGCCTGCATTCGATCCGCGCCCGCGGATCACGTGAATGTTGGCGGAAGAAGGCATCGGGACAGTGTTTTTGTGTCTCTCTCTTCGCGCGCGATGAGAAAATGATGATGATGAGTATTTCCAAAGTGGAATCGAGTGTTAAATCATTAATTGGTGTGTTTTATTTGCGTGATTTATCACCTTGTTTATTGGCTATTTTTCACTTTCTCATTCAATTATGACGATTAAGAGAGGCGAATTATCGCTATGATTTCAAGGGGGAGATAAAATGGTTGCAATTAATTTTGACATGGAAAAATGTCCTTTTTCTCCACTTTTTAAGCTCTGTTTGAATTCCTTTATTGACATAGTCACAAGTTATTTGCAATATTTGCACTCTGCAAATGTGAAAATGGGAGAATTGAGGCAAGAAATTGCTTTGACAAGTCAAATTGTTGAATGAGAAAATCATTCTAGAAATGTCTGAAAGAAGAATTTACCAGAAATCGCTGTTATTTTGTATCAAATGTTGAGTCATAACTTGATTTCATCATGTTGAACTGAAATTTTGAATTGTTAAAATTATAGAGAATTTCTGTAAAAGAATTCGGAAGAAGTTTCCTAAATTGATAATTATTTCCTAAATCATTTCCATTCAGATGTTGACTAATTGGCGTCGCTTTGTCTCTCTCTGTCCACAGATATGGTCTCTTTGACTTCGAATACATGCATCAGTGCCAAGGAACATCGGAGAGCTCGAAGAAACAGAAGCTGTTCCTCATGTCATGGTGCCCGGACACCGCGAAGGTGAGCACGTGAGCGATGATCCGTCAGCGCAGCCTCAGGCAGGCACAGTGACGCTGTCGATGAGTCACTGGGCTGTTTTTTTCACAATTGAGGGCTGCCAGAGTGACTTCTGAGCTGACTCTTTACCCCTCTTCGTGCTGTGATTCTCGCGAAGAGTCATTCAAAGTCAGTTACAATGTGGAAAAAAAGCAATGAGCTAAACCGCATTTTGAGCTCACTTTTCACTCATCTGCACTTTGTAGAATTCTAGAAATGTTTAAAAGTGGATTTATGACTGCTTTAAGTCTCAAATGTTGATCATTTTGGTGTTGCGGCACTAGAAAAGTGTGTGGAAATATGTGAGATCGATGCTAATTGTGTCCTTTTTTTTCCTCCTCGGCAGGTCAAGAAGAAGATGTTGTACTCGAGCTCCTTCGATGCGCTGAAAAAGTCTCTGGTCGGTGTTCAAAAGTACATTCAGGCCACTGATCTTTCGGAGGCTTCGCGAGAGGCTGTGGAGGAGAAGCTGCGCGCCACGGATCGCCAATAATTTAATACACAGATGAGAGAGAGAGAGAGAAGATGAAGGATGTCTCTTTTCACCTTTATATTTATCGGAAAAATGAATTATTATTTTTTTTTTTTGTGTAAAACTCTGGCGCGCCGCAAAAGTTAGTAAGAAAAAAGAGATAAGAAAGAGAGAAAGGATGAATAGCTTGATGAAGAGAGTGAAATAGATGCAAAAAGAGCGAAAAAAATGGAAGGAACACAAGCACAATATTTGTCAATAAGTGAAGATGGAAAAAAAGAGGAGTAAAAGAACATGAGAGAGAAAAATGATGGTAATCACAATAATCAATACAATTTTATATAGAATTACAATTTAAGAGAGTTTTTTGATAAGATGAGAGCGAGAGAAAGAGAGAGAAAAAGGTCATTTTTCCTACCAGTAAATGCGCGATGAAGGAAGAAGAAGAAAAAACGTACATTTTCAAGGATTAAAACATAAGTTGTTTTTTTTTCATTCATGCAATGAAGAAGAAATGAGTGAATTGCCGATGACGTGGTTTTTTTTCCTTTGTATAATTTAAATATCATTTTATTCATACAGCAAAAGATGAAGAATGAAGGAAGCAAACTACTTATTGCAACAAAAAAAAACATATGTAAACTAATTGTCTTCTAATAAAAATGATAAAATGCATACAATTTAGAGCGAGAGAGACGTATAAAAGAATTAAGGTGGTGAAGAAATCCCGATGAAAGAATATTTAAGGACACACCAAATCCCAGTCATTTTTGTACAGATTGATTTTTGCTCTTTTTTGACGGAACACGAATTCTCTCTTACAATTTCTGAGACATTTTAATTTAAAAGAAAAAGAAAGAAAGCGTATAATTATATTGATTAAATTCTTCGGAGGAATAGGGAATTTTTATTTGCATTTTCTTTTGTGTACTGATTTTTTTAGCTAAAAAAAAAATATGAGGAGAGAAACAATTTGCCAAGACGACAAAACACACAGAACAATTTTGAGAGTCACAGTCATTTCAGATTTCATTTCACAAGTCCAGCCAAAGTGCAACTCTTCCGGCAACTCTGATAAGAAGAAGATGATGAAAAAGAAAAGAAAACAAAGTATTAACAAGCGCTATTTATGTTCATTTTTGCACTTTGTTGCCGCATTCGCATGAAGAATGAAGAACTCGACAGAGTATAAATTAATAGATTTCCGGACATGTTTTTCAGTGAAGTAAAAAAAAAAGAAGAAATAAAAGGATGAAGAAAAAATTGAGCCAACCAAAAAAAACGACAAGAAGCGATTTATAAATGAGAAAAGAATGCAATTGCAAGGTTTGCTTGCAATTCTATTATTTGTCTTGTGTCATTTACATTTTTCTTGCAATAAATTATTTGTATTGAAAAAAAAATGTGGTTTTTCCTCAGGACTTTTCGTCATCACTTGGTGAGTCGCTAAAGGTGAGAAAACTGTTGCGGAACAACGAGAAACAAGTTAGTAAACGTGAATTTCTCACTTCAAGTTGTTGAAATTTTAGAAATTCCCTGAATTCTTAAGATTTCTGCTGTCAAAAATTAATTGATAAAATAAGTTTCGACTGTGAAGGTACGAGTTTTCTTAAGTTTCACATCATTTTTTAAATAAATTCTTGGTGAAAATGGAACATTTCATGAATAGACAATGAAATTTTGGGAATATCTTAAAATTTCGCCTGTAATTTCATGACATTTTTATATTTTTTCATAGAAAAAATGTATTTTCACAGCAGAAATTCACTTTTCTTATTTATCCTGTGGAAGATTTTCTTATTTACTTTGAGTATTTGTTTTAGAAGCGCCGAAACACATTAAGAAATCGCATATTTCGTTCTGGTTCTGCAAATTTTATAGCTTTTCCTAAACTTAGCACAGCGATTTCTTATCACAGCCTTTCTTTACATTTGATTATGCTGTAAAACAACACGATCTTCACCTCTTCAATTGTGCCAAAATTGGCGTGTTTTCCTAAATTCGCGATCTTGACATGAAAATCTGCAATTGAAGGTGACAAACTGATAAAATATTGTGATCAAAATGATTTTAGGGTCACAATAAAAGAAACTGGGCCGCTTGCGAGGAGAACTTTTGGGTATAAAAGGAGGGAAAATCATAATGCAAGAGTCAAAAGTGAAGAAGATTCCGGGAGTAAAAAGTGTTTCAACACAACAATGAAGATTTTCATCGCAGTTTTCGTCGTCTTGGCTCTCGTCGCCATTCTCCAGGTCAATGCGGATCCGGAAGCTGAAGTTGCTGCCGAAGCCCGAGCTGAACTCCGACAATTGCCACCAAATCCACTCAACGAATTCGTTCAAATGCTTTGCCAAGCACTTTATGACTATGTTCAAATTGGTCTTTATCTCGATGTTTTTGATGCTTTGGGTTGCGATGCGCCTGGAGACAAATAAAGAAACGCAATGAGAAGTTTGAGCTGAGAAAAGAAGTCCTTTTTCCTCATTTTCCACTGTCTGCAGACCCGAATTTGGAACTTGTGTGACCAATTGCAATCTGTTTTCGCGAGAAATTGTGTCACGAGCGAAAGATGGCGAGTATAAGAGGCGAAATTTCGCGGGAATTGCGCCAAAAGTCTCTGGGAAAGCGCAAAATGAAGATTCTCGTCGTCGCGCTTGTTCTGTGCGCAATTCTTGCGCCGCTGGCGATTCGCGCCGCGCCGGAAGCCGAAGAAGTCTCGACAAGAGTCGCCAGACAAACGATTCCGCAGCCGCTCTTTGACGTCGTCACCTTAATTCTGTCCATCTTGAGCACCGTCTTGAGCCAAGCTGGATGACGGACAGCACTTTGGAGGAGGGAAAATGTGTGTCAATAGAGCGAATAAATATTGATTCCTAAACATCTGAAAAATGCGTCTTTTCCACCCCAAATTTTGCCATATAAATTTCAATGACATTCAGCAATTGAGCAGAAGAGCACCTGATTTCTTCGAGGACGCATCGAAGGCAGAAAATGAAGGCTAAGATTGTTGTCGTCTTGCTGTTCTGCCTCTTGGCGATGGCGATGGCGAAGCCCGTTCCCTCGCCGGAACCTCTGAGTCTTGGACCTCTGCTGGAAACGCTCGGACATCTTTTCCTGATTCTCGCTGCTCCGTTGAATCTTCTGGGAATATAAAGAAATTTGCAATAAAAGCATTTTATGCACTGATCCTTAATATGAAGTTTATTATTCACTCGATTCACTCTGAATGCAATTAAGGGAGAGAATGTTGCGTCTAAATGGTCTAAATTCTGTTTATTTTAAAGCACAATTCCATTTTCCGATCGCTATTTCCATTGCAGATATTAAAGAAAGAAAGCATTAAGAATTAAGAGTGTTTATCAGGTTTATCAAGGTATTCAAGTTGCTTTAATTGGCACAATAATGTCCAGAAGTCCAGAGATTTTACTCACTTTGTGATCCTTAGAAAATCATTTTTGTCAAATGTTATAAAAATCTTTAGAAATTTAGTATAAATCTTGCACGAATCATTAGGAAAATTGCATAATTCCTATCATTTACTTTTACATAAAACTCTTCAGAAGAAAAATTCACGCATTTTCTTATTTAATCAATTGGACAACAAAAAATTACTTCAATTTTCGGTCATCCTTTGAATCCACCTCGTTCTTCTTTTCGATTTGTACCAATTTGCAAGCCAGCAAACCAAATAGAACCTTGCAAAAAAATGGGATCATGGTTTTTATTTTTGCAAATGAGGCCATTTGCGAATAAATTTTGGATATTGTAAAGATTCTCTATCGGCTTTTTTAGAGAATTACTTTGCTGGAGGAAAGTCGCCTCTCGATTTCTTCAAGAGGTCCCCTTGCTCCCTCTAGAGAACAAAGTATCTTCTGCAACAGTGCAAGGCGCGTCCTGTATGGACTAAAATGCCTTCGGTCAACGGCAATCTAATGCCACCGGGCTTAAGCAAGAATGCTCCCTGGTGAGTGGCGACCACCGGTGGTGCCTCCGATTTGCACTGGGCTAAGGTTTAGCCTCAGAAAATACTTCTTTCTCTACTGCCGCTTTTACTGGAGCTCCTTGAAGAGGAGCCGCTGGTAGAGGCAGGGAAAGAGCCGACTCTGGCCGCTAATATGAATGGCAAGAGTGCCGCTGATATTAGCCAGAGACTTAGCCGCTGAAAGAAGCACTGGAGGTGCTGCGGACAAGGCTAAGTGGTCCTGAGAAATCGCAAATATTAATGGAAGGGAAGCTTACTTATTGAAAGCTGCTGGATTTCCATGCGAAGTCTGATTTATTCAATGCATTACACCGTCTTTTATACACAAAATTCTTATCCCTACTTAATTAATTCGGCGACAAATTGTAATATCGACAAATTCAAAGTGACAAAAGAAGTGACGAAAAGTGGTGGCGAGAAATGCACCCGCTGCATTTTTCTGAATGTGGGTCATTGAGCGCATCGAGTGTGTGACTCATATGACTTTATATGGAGATTAGATTATTTGATTTTTCTCCCATTTATCTTATCTTATCAACAAGGATTCAGTCAGGACTTGATCCTTGTTGTGGTTAGTATCTAGTGTGCTGAAATATATTCGGGTTTTCGCGGTGGAAATGGCATATTTTTACACCGCCGTGCAAGGGGTTAGAAATGGTACTATTATTTTCTAATCTAGCTGAAATTTGAAACCTTTTTGACCTAAACCTGGCGATTAAGATGTATATCTATTACTTAAACTAAGTTTGCTTGGCCTGAGAATGTTAGAAATAGTAAAAAATAGTGTCTCAATTTCGGACTTAAATCTAACATTCATTTACTGCATGTTTCAACCGGAACATCCTGGCCGCCGGGAAGATCCGAAGTTTCCTTGTTGGGTTGGAGAATGAGCTGGAGTCGTTGTACTAGAGGCAGATTGTGGTTTGAGGCCTCTGTCTGTGGCTCCTGCAAATTTCCTGGCTGCTCTGTTGACTTCTTCCGATGAAAGATTTTGGTCCAGTGTGCCCTTGTCTTGAAGAGTATGAAGATGAGAATGATGAATCCGATGACTCCTGAAACGCTGTACGTAGTGGGATGTGACATCGGGCTCAGCATGAGTGGTACTACTGTTGGCACAGGTGGAGCTACTGATGTGAAGATGTCTTCAGAGCGGCCAATTATGTGGGTGGTGTTCAGCATCACTGTGGGCTGCCTTCTGAATTCAACGGTGTCGATCTCTGGGAGCTTGATAGTGCGGCTGAACATGTCTGTTGCTTGGAGCTTCATTGTGAACCCTGTTCTGAGCGTGAGAGAGCTGGTTTTGACAAAGCATTCTCGCTTGACGTGGAGAATCCCTGTGTTGTTGAGCAGTAGTTCTTCTCTGAAGCCGTTACACATGATCGTGATTGGTATTGATGGTAGGATTTCAAAGGAGTAATGAGGTCTGTTGATGATAAAAATGAAGCGGTAATATTTTGTTCATTTTCTCTGGTCGATGTTGTGTGTTGGGATTTGATCCGGGACCGAAAGCTGGAGATTAGTCTTTGGTTGACTTCTTCTCCTTGATGATGTCGGCGACGATGGATGGATTTTCCCATAGTGACATTGGAATTTGCATGTCTGGGGGTGAGTTCCTCACTACTTCCTTTTCGAGGAGTATATGTGCCTCTTCTTCTTTGTGAGGCCAGCAATATTCAGGGGAATGTAACCATAATGGCCCGTTCCACCATTCTTCTTTTTCTTTGAATTTTGACGGACATGCGCCAACGCTGAGCCATGATGCAGTGTTGTGAGCTGGCTGAACGTGATTCCAAGCAGTCATCGGAGTCAATTTTTGTATCTGAAGGATCCGTTGAGACACATAATCATTCCATTCATGTGCCCCTCTGGAGAGCCAATATAGTATGGCTCTGGAGCTTGTCCAGGCATAAACCTTGGCTCCTGACTGTTGTACTGCTTGTTTTGCTTTGGAGAGCATAGTTGCAAGTAGGAGGGCTGCGCATAATTCAAGTCGTGAGGCCGAAATTGATTCGCCTTCAGGGATGGTACAGCTGTCTGCAGCAATTAGGAAGACCGAAGTGAGATCTTTATTCATCACACGTAGATACACAGCTGCACCATATGCCCAAGATGATGAGGATGCAAAACCGTGCAACTGTACGTCAGAGTGCGGATTTATTGCTATATGCCTTGGGATGATGATCTTTTCGATCTCTGGTAGTTGCCTTAGAAATCTCAGCCAGTCTTGCTGTATTCCGCTGGAAACTTTGTCATTCCAA